TCAATTTGTTAGAGGGGAAAATTGGGGTGGGAAATGAAGAAAAAGGAAGAAATCCAAAGAACGATGTGGGGCATTATCAAGAGGAAAACTTTATGTATAATTGAAATTCCAGAGCAAGAAAAGGCAATCCCACTCCAAGGTAGATACCCTAAAGAAATAAAAGCCACGACACTCAGATATATATGCACATGCATGTTTATTGAGGGATTTTTCACCATAACATAGAGGTGGAAACAACGTATGTGTCCCTCACCAGACGAATGGATCATCAGAATGGATACCATGCCACATGAAGAAAAATGGTGCTTTTGTGAACCAGCTCATGACATGGATGAATTTGGAGGACCTTATGCTGAGTGAAATAAACCACAAAAGGGCAAATATTATATGAGATCACTATTATGTATGTAAAAACAATAACCCAAGAAACAGTTTATGTATGGGGGGAAAGCTTTGCTGATTGCCAGGGATGGTGAAAGAAGGTAGGAAAAAGGACCAACTATACAGATGACAGATGTTAATAATGATGAACAGAAAGGCAATACACTATTTGGAGGAAGGAATCAAGAATAAAGGGTGACTATGGTAATTCTTACATCAGAACATTCTGCAACAATAGTCTTAACAAATAAGACTTTACAAAGGTATGTTAAAGCAGTGGAGTGGGGGAGTGGGTGGCAGCACCCCCACCTGCATATGTAGGCATCCTGTGGATAGTTCTGCATACATACTAGTAGGGGCTGCGTTAGTAACATAGACAACAGAGCACACAGGGGCACAGTTGTGAAAACACTGAAATATGACCAAACACCTTGCAAAATTTGAAGTTTCTAGGATTGAAGGCAAAGAACTCTATTCTCAGGGGACATCTATGTCAATTGGCACAACATAGCTCACAAAGACATCCTACTTTGGTGAGTAGCATTTCCGTCTAAGATACAACTATTAGTCTTTCCCCATCCAGAGCCAAGGGAAATAGATCTATGTGCCTATATTTATAGGTTTAGTATTAAGGTATCAGAAGGACATTGGGCCTCCACTCAAGTACTCCCTCAATGCAAGA